TGATTTTTTTAGTTTATTTTTGAGTTTTGGGATGTTTTATCCCCTTTGGGTTTTCTTCTTCTTCTCTTTCTTCTCCTTCTTCTTCTTCTTCTTCTTTTTCTTCTTCTTCTTCTTCTTCTTCCTCCTCCTCCTTCTCTTCCTCCTCCTCCTCTTCCTCCTCCTCCTCTTCCTCCTCCTCATTTTCTGACAAGTCTTCATGTCCAGAAAGGTCTCTCCACTGGGGTTTTTGTGGCCTACATGACCTCTGGGTTTTGGGTGCTAATGTTGCCTCTGGGGTCCCTGGTACCTATGTGGCCTGGTCTCCATGATGCAAGCATGCCTCTAGAAGAGTAGGCAGAGTTGTGAGGTGGGAAATAGGGCACAGAGGATGGGGTCTGTTCACTGCTGTTGGGTGTGCTTTTGGGAGTTGGTGGGCTAGAGTGTTTTTCACCCTATTTGTATTCCTTTAATTTCCTTCTCTTGACTTATTTCCCTGCCTCCTGCTTCCAGCACTATATTGAAAAGGAATGGAGATAGTGGACAACCTGGGTTTTTTTTTTTTTTTTTTTTTTTGTGCATTTAGGATAATTGTGCATTTAAGATAATTTTGGCTGTGTTTGCCATATTTATTTAGTCTTTATTATGCTGAAAGTATGTTCTCTCTAGTCCTGCTCTTTCTAGGACTTTTCTCATGAAAGTATATTGGAACTTATCAGAGGGTTTTTCAGCATCTATTTAGGTGATTATGTGATTTTTTTTGCTAATAAGTCTATTTGCATAATTTATCATACTTTCTGATTTATATATGTTAAACCAACTATTTTTGGTATAAAGTCAGCTTAATTGTGGTAGCTGATCTTCTTGATATGTGCATCTACTCATTTTGCTAGTTTTTATTGAGTATTTTCACATCTGTGTTCATCAGGGATATGAGTCTGTAGGTTTATTTGTGTTATATCTTTACCTTTGTTTGATATTAAAGTAAGATTAGTTTCAGAGGACAAGTTTGGGAGTGTGACCTCTGTGTTTACCTTTGTAAAGAATTAGTTGTAGCTCTTTGAAAGTCTGGTAGAATTCTACTGTAACTCTTTCTGGAACCAGACTTTCTATAGTCAGGAAGTTTTTATTACTGTTTCCATCTCCTTCTTTGTTTTGGGTTTGTTTGAGTTGTTGGTCTCTCCTTAGTTTAACTTGGTAGTTGTATGGATTCAGATTCATTCATTGTAAAAATTTTTTTCTAACTTAATGAAATACAGTTGTTTGTGTTTTTAAGTATTTTCTTGTATTCTGCACTTCTTTTGTGTAGGTTGTAATTTTTACTTGTTCATTCATGAATCTATTAATTTGGATCATTTCTTTCTTCTGTTTAGTTGTACCAAAGAGCTATTGATTTTGTCTTCTAAATAGACAAAAACAAACAAACAAACAACAAAACAAAACCAACTCTTATGTTCATGAATGCTTAGTATTGGTTTTTTTTGTTTGTTTCTATTTCATTAATTTTTGGTTTGATTATTATTATTTCTTGCCATTTGCTGGGCTTAGGCTTACCCCCTCCCTATCACCCCAAATCTTTGAGCTGTATCACTAAGTCATTTATTTTTGCTCTTTCTGATTTTTAAAATTTATTTTTCTTTCATATATTATGTTCCAATATCCGTTTCCCTACCTTCTAATCCTCCTAGACCACCCAACTCCCCTCTCCCCAAAATACACTCCTCTTCTATTTCCTTTCAGAAAAGAACAGGTATCCCAGAGATATCAACTGAATATGGCATAGCAAGTTACAGTAAGGCTAGGCACAAACCCTCATATAAATAAATGTATAGTAATATATATTATAAAAATATGTGAGCATTTTACCCATTCATTCATTCATCATTTATGTTTATGTGTATGTTTATGTGATGTTTTGTCAGCATATATGACTGTCTAATATGCACATGCCTGTGGTCTGCAGAGACCAGAATAAGTCACTGAATCCCCTGGTACTGGAGTCATGGACAGTTGTGGACTGCCATGTAGATTCGAGGAACCAAGCCCATGTTCTCTGGAAGAACATCCAGTGTTCTTCTGATGGACCATCTCTCCAGCCCAAGTGCAGAGATTTTGTGTTTTTATTTTTAGTTAAGTCTAGAAATATTTTTATTTTCTTTTTCTTGATTCTTTTTGTTTGCTCTGTTCACCACTCAGTAATGAGCTGTTTAATCTCCGTGAATTTATACATTTACTGGAGTATTATTTCTTGATGATTTGCCAACTTTTGTAACTTTTCTGTATTTGTGAGGGTTTGGTTTTTGATAGGAGATATACTGTCTTGGCTCCTCGTGTTGTTTTGATTTGCAATTTGACTAGCAGTGAACTTCTTTTTTGATTGTATATATGATGTGCTAATCTGACCTTCCTTAGATTAAGCCAGTTCAGGAGATGTGTGACATGAGCTAAGCCAGGTAAAACTGATAGATGAGATGCTTAATTGGACAAGGAAATATGGCTTACCAAACTATGGGTCTGGAAGTAGGCCTCTGGTACAGAGATGGAAACAGGCAGAGAGAATAATGTGAGAGAAAAGAAGTGCCTTACCAATCAAAGATGGATATCAAAGAAAGAAGATTCAAAGGCCACAGACCTTGAGCTAAGCCTGCGGGTGTGAAAATGACTACAAGCTGGGGAAAGGTATTGGAAGGAGATGTAGGGGTAGAAAGGAAAGAAGAATCTTCCCCAGCAAAAGTGTTTCAGGAACAAAGAGGTTCATGGTCTGGAACTAGGCTTGTGGGTTTTATAGATGGTGGTAAATTGGGGAAGGGAAGGCAAAAGGAAGACGCAACTAGAATACCGGAATAAGAAGGATTTAGATGCCACAAGACTGGCTGTAGGCTTGTAGGTAACCACATGACAGCAAATTGTGGGAAGTGATGGCAAAGGGAAGAAGCAAGTAAGCAAGGAAACACCCAGGAAAGGTGACTCACGAAGAAAGAAGGTTTGCATGCTGCAGGCCTGGACCTAGGCTGTGGGTTTGCAGAGGATGGACTTTCTTATGAGTCTCAAGAATCCTTCATCTATTTGATGGTGCTGGAGAGATGGCTCATCAGCAAAGAGCACTTACTGTTCAATCATGAGGACCAAAGTTCAGATCCCGGCCCCCATGTCAGTTGTCTCACAACTGCCTGTAGTTCAAGATCCAACGTGACTAATGCCTCTTCTATCCCATGTGGACACCTATACGCACATGTATGTCCATACACACAGAGCAGCAGAGCAGCAGAGACACATAGATGCCCAAGCTAATAACCTTTTAAAGAATTCTTTGTATGTCTGAGATGTGAGTCTCTCATCAGGTATGTGTGTTGCAAGTATTTGTCCTATTCTATGGCTTCCCTGTTCATTCAATTAACAATGTCATGAAACAGAAACTTAATTCCAGTGAAATTAAGTATCTTGCTCATAGACACTGGTGTAGCTGTCTGTTACCATATTGCCAACAAAAGCTCTCAAGAGTTATGTTTGAGAAGATCTAACTGTAGCCTTCCACATCTAGAGTCATGATCCATTTTGGCTAAATTTTATGAAATCTTAAGTCACTTCTTTGCTTACACATGTCCCAGTGTTCCAGCAATGTGTTTAAAAGACTCTACTTTCTCTCCTCAACTTCAGCTTCCTTTGGTTCTTTCTGAGAGATTAGTGACAGTATTTTGTGAGTTTATTTATAGACATTTTTTGTTCAATTTCCTTAAAACTTGGTCTTTCTCTAAAATCACACAGTGTGAATGACTACAGCTAGATAGCAATTCCTGAAAATGGTAGTATCAATTTTATAAATTTATTTTCAACATTATATTAACCATTATCATCTTTTGCCTGTCCATGTAACATTTACAGCTAAATTTTGAATGTTAATAAAATTAATTTTTAAATTATTTAATTTTTTAATGTGCGGGTGTCAGATCCCTTGGAATTGGCTTTACAGATAGTTGTGAGCTGCCATATGGGTGCTGGGAATCGAACCCAGGTCCTTCGGAAGAGCAGCCAGTGCTCTTTACCACTGAGCCATCTCTCCAGCCCCCATTTTTCAGGATTTTAATTTGAATTGTATTAAATATCAGTATCTCAAACTTTATCCCTCTCTACTTTCTCTCATATTGTTTTATTGCATAGACAAGGGCAGCCTCAGAACCATATTTCACTGTCTTATCCCTTTATTTTTGGTGGTGCGTGCTTGATACGATGGTTTAATTTAAATCCAGGGGCTGGAGAGGAAGTTCGGCAGTTAAAAGCATTGATTGCTCCTACAGAGGGCCCAGGTTTGAGTCCTAGCACCCACATGGTGCTCACAACCACCTGTAACTCCAGTGCCAGGGGATCTGCCACCCGCGTCTGTCTCTGCCAGCACCAACATGTATGTTATACACTTACATAAGGCAACAAAAACAATGGCACACATATAATTATTTTCTTTTAAACTTGAAGGGTAAGTAGTCACTGTAGACAAAGAACAAAGAAAAAATGAAAGGCAGGAAGGTAAAGACAGGTTAAGAAAGAGGGGGGAGAGAAGAGAAGGAGTATCTGCTTATTTCAGGCTGGCATTTTTTTAGATTTATGTCTTGTCACTAACGTGTACGCATGTTTTGCTTGCACGTATGTCTGTGTACTGTGCGTGCAGTACCTGCACAAGTCAGAGGAGGCTGTTGAGGGCCCTGGATCTAGAGCTACAGATGGTTGTGAACCACCAGGTAGCTTTTGGGAACCAGATCTGGGTCCTCTGAAAGAGCAGCAAATGCGCTTAACCACTGAGCCATCTCTCCAGCCAGTCTGCTGAGAATTTCATAGAATAACCGTAAAGTAAACATTAAAGTGTAGCTTTATATAGGGCATCTTCTAAACAAACTTTCTATAAAGTAGTGTAAGTGTTAGAGGCTTGAAAACTATTGTGAGGCTATGGACATAGTTTTAAGCACTCAGATAAAGCATTTATTTGTTCATTTCAGTCACACTGACTTAGTGAACGTTTTCTTTATCTCCAGATTACCCAAATGTATTTAAGGATACAGATGTAGAAAAGACTGTGGTGATACCTGGCCACAGCAGCTTCATGGTCATCGAAATTACTGATGAGTGGACCGCTTTTGCCATAGCTACTATGCCCGATACCGTGAATTCAGACTTGACATTTGCAGCACACTCTTGGCTCTTATACAACTTTGGCTCAAAGAGTGGACGGAATTGGGCCATACATTTAAAACCGTGTAATTACTGGGTTCGAACTGATTTAATATCCCTGAATGCTGTGAAATACACTGATATGGGGAACAAAGAAGAGTTTAAATATCAGGTTATTCCTAATACAAGAGGTAATTTTTTTTTTTTATTGAAAAAGTAAAAAGGAGTTATTTCTTTTCTTAAGTGTAAAGCATACGCTTTGCTATTCATTTTGGCTTCCATGATTACTAGGATTCTACCACTAACAAAGGGATGTCCTAGTTATGGTTCATGACTGTTTTCTAAGCTCTGTATTGACAAAGAAGGAAGGAAAGAACAAAGGGAAAAAGAAAGACAGGGGAAGAGAGAGAAAAAAGATTCTTTTGGGTTTTTTTTTCCCCTGCTGAAATTTTGTTTTAGATTTATGTCTTTTGACTAATGTGTATGCATGTTGTGCTTCATATATGTCTGTGTACTGTGCGTGCAGTACTTGCAGAAGCCAGAGGAGGCTGTTGAGTGCCCTGGAAATGGATCTATGAACAACCTTGTGGGTATACTGATGTGAGAAACACATTTCAAATGTTTGGTAGACATTTTTTATATTTATAATCACCCTAAAAGTCTAGATGATAATAATTCTAAAATAAGGAAATGGAGGTAAATTTACAGTCAAAGCTTAAACCATATTTTAGCATAGATTTTTGATGACCTTCAAATGAATCCTTGTAATTACTTTGACATGGCAATGTTTATCTTCAGTATTTTTTAAAATATGTTTATTTTTATTGTGTCTATGAGTGTTTGCTTGCATGTATCTGCACCACGGAGAGCAGGAAAGGGTTTCAGATACCCCAGAAATCAGAGGCACGTGTTGTAAGTTAGCATGTGAATGCTGGGAATCAAGCAAAGTTCCTCCACAAGAACACTGAGAGCCCTTAACCACTGAGCCATCTCTCCAGCCCCTATTTCAGCTATTTAACTCAAGCCAAAGTGGATTTTACATAAAAATACTATACTACATTTATATTTCCACACATTTATTGGAAAAACACGTGAAGCTGGGATGAAAAGATGACTTAGCAAGTTAGGGCACTTTCCACACAGACTGATGCCTGAGAAGCGTGATCAACATAGTGGCTGGAAAGAAATAAGGGCCAAGTCCACAGGCAGTTCTCTGTGGACCTTCCCAAGAGCACCATTTCACGCATGCACACACACACACACACACACATTCATATTTAGGCACACACATTACTAAATAAGCAAAGTTTTAAAATAAATAAAATTACAATAATAATGAAGAACACATGTGAACTAATGAGGTGGCTCGTCGGATAGAGTTAGTTGCCATGCAATTCATACAACCTGAGTCTGGCCTCTAGATTCCACAGTGGAAAGAGAATTGACTCCCAAAAGTGGCATTGTGACTCTCACATGCCCACTATAGTATCCATGTACACCTGAACACACACACACACACACACACACACACACACACACACATACATAAAACAATAATGATTTAGTAAATAATCATAATATAATAACTTTTAAGAACTTTAAATATGTAAAACCAAAACTTCCAGGGAAAGCATTTCTCTGAAGTAATGGGATTAAAAAAAAAAAAATACTACTACCAAAAACCAAGTCCTGGTAACAACTACCACCAGCGTGGCAAGACAGCAACAGGACAAAGGAAAGCATAAAGTCTGTGCATTGGAGAACATAGGTTCTAGAGGAGAGCGGTGAGAGAACTCGCAGCTTGGTGGGCAGTTTGAGGAAGACGGAGCATCAACAAGAAGTTTTTGTTGCTTGAGGTCGCCACACTTCTCTGCTGGTGAAGCCAATAGTGTGGAAATTGTATACATAAGCAGCACAGAGCAACAGCTGCTGGTGACCATTATGATTTATGTGCGGTTTCAATCTATACGCACGTGCCATCATAGCGGAAGAATAACCAATGTTCAGGAGACAAGGGTTGGTAGGTAGGAAGCAGTTTTATTATGTATCCTGAAGAAGGAAGGGCACGTTCCTTAAAGTTCTGCCAAGCCAAGCTCAGACCTTGGTTGAGCCATCAGGCTGGTTCATGATGGCAGCTTGACAAATGAGAACCACCTGGGGAAAAGGCCTCTGCGCATGCTTGTGAGGGGGTTGGGCATGCATTCATGCACTGCTGTCTGTGTCTGGGCCACGGATGAAATGCCCAACTGCTTCTACTAGATTTTCCCACCAGGAGAGACTGTGTCTCGAACTGTGAGCTAAAATGAGCTCTCCCTTCTGCATGTCAGGGTGTTTGCCGTGACAACAATGAAAGAACTAAGGCAGAACCAAGAGTTTGTGGGCAGAGGAGTCAGTGAGGTGCAGGCTGGACAGGGCTTGGTAAGGAAGCCTCTGTCTCTTCTCTAGAACAGTGTAATGGGTTTGGCCACCTACTAGTCTACTAAGGAAGGACTAAAAATGTCTACCGTGAAAGAGGTGAGTACTGGAGAAAAGCAGAGGAGAGGGCTGCAGTCAATGTGGCGAATTGGGAAGAGAAACAGATAGTGAGGCCTAAGTCCGTCTTTAGAGTACTGACATGTTTTAGGTTTCAGAAGAGGATGAGTTGGAGCAGGACAAGTAATCAAGCAGTTCCAGTCAAGGTTTGGTCTAGTTGCTCATTCTCAGTTCTGGCCCTATATGTTGGTTTGAAGTTCTCACTGTTCCCGAAGCTGGAAGAGACAAACCAGGTTCTGTGAGATGTTGTGCCTGCTTGTGTACACAGCTGTTGTTATTCCCAGTAACTTGAGGTTTAGGGCAATGATTGGGAATGCGGTTCTGAACAGAACATGGCAAGGCTGGGAGAAAAATTCCTCAGTTGTTCTTACTTTGTACCTTCAGCTTTGAGGCAGGTTAGGGACTGTGGGGTCTCAGGCCTCCTGTTTCCTAGCAGTGAGCCCTGGAGACTCAGTTAGTGTCTCTTGAAAAGTCATGTGCCTCCACAGACAAAGTGCAGGTGACCCACTGGGTGTAATCATTCATTTCATAGCCCCAAGTGCAAGGCCCTTGTCCTTCTTCCCCACTGGTTGGATATCATAGAAGGTACAGTTGTTCCCATCTGACATCTCACCTTCACCATAACTCACGTCCCACTCTTCTCTCATCATTCCAGGAGTCCCACACCCTGTTTTGCAGGTCTTCAGTCTTGCAGACCAACCAACTATTGTGAAAGTTACCCTGCGATAGAACTGTGCCAGCATCAGCTCTGCTCATGTCCCACACCTGGCATCTCTTCATGCATGTGCTTAGTCACATAGCAGAATGTCAGCCTTTGGGATTGGAGAACCAACATCTGATGTTTCTCTGAAGCCCTAGGACACCTGTGTATTGAAAATGGAGCATATTTTATTTTGTATAGAATTTCTAATTTGCTTGTGGACAGTTTTTGAATGATTAATATGTGCATGCAAAGAGAGGCAGGTGTCTGGCCTAAAGTAAAAGACAGATCTAGATTTAAGGTTGGGAATGCCAGGCTCTGTCTTCTTTCACTGGGGCACTCTAGTGAACGTCAATGCTTTTTAACAAAAGCAGTTTCTAGGTGCTTATTATGGGATGCCAAGACAGAGATGTCAAACTTTTTATCCCATTTGAGTCATTCTTCAGATGTCTGCAAGTTCAAGTGAAGAATCAATGCTTCTTTTTAAAAGGCAAACCTTTTAAGACCCTAAAAAGGAGCATGCACAAATGTTATTGCCAACGTGGCAGAGGTCTTACCTCCATAAATACAGAGGTAAAGGTATTAATGCATGAAATCCAAAGTTCATAATATTTTAATCTCCATAGGTAACACTTACTCTTAAGAGATAAGGGGCACAGAGTTTCTTCATCTTCTATCCCTTGACTGTGACTAATACTTCAAGTTTTGTATTTATATGGGTATGAATCCAATAAACAATGCCAGGAGATACCAGAGTGAAGAAAGAGCTTCCTTCTTCCAGCAAGCAAGAATACACTGGAATAAAGTTCAAAACAATCTTTTCCCACAAAAAGAAAGCAAAAAAAAAAAAAAAAGTTTTTTTTTTTTAACTGAGAAAACTTATACACACCTCACATAGGACTGTTGTAAGAGGGAAGCATTCTTGAGCTCAGTTCAAGTTCAAGGTCATGTATCGTTCAGAAGTGTGAGTGGCAGCAAGGAATGCCCTGGAGCAGAAAGTGTAGTATCACAGTGAGCAAAGTTTACCCTAGGTTCCCTAAAAAGAGTGAGTCCAGAGATTGTGAGCTGTTTTGTCTGATTCCCTAAGTCTCCCTAGAGGAGGTGAGCCTAAGCCAGTAAAAACCTCTACAAAACTTTGAAGGTGCCCTGGAGAGGTGACCACTCCTGTGGCTCTTGCAGAGAGCTGAGATCAGTTCCCAGCACACGTAACACTTTGCAGGGATATTACATGTCACTTGAAGGCCATCAGCATCCTCTGCTCCATAGTTGTAGGCAATTGTACCTACAAGTACCTGCCTAAAGCAAACATAACCAGTTGTACCCAAGTGACCTTCCCAGCCATTTCAGAAACTGGATCAGAAATGAGAACTTTAAAGGGAAAAAAACATGTATTTTCTGAGGAAAATATCTGTGAAGGTAATTTTTTCTAAGAACTGTTAAGATTGCCAATCATTGCTAAGTTGTTTTTACGGCTTTGTTATGTCATGTTAACTGTTGGCACTGATCCCACAGGTATGATACCACGTCAGATCCCACCAGTGACGGTGATTATTGGAAACCCAACGTTATTGGAAGTTATGGCCAATGGTCATTTCGACATCAGTGATGATTACCACATGAAGATTCAGATAGCTAGCAAATTTTTCCACAGAGTAAGAGGTTTTTCCTTATTATGAAACAATCTATTAGCTCTAGAAAGTGTAGACTTATTAGCTATGAAAGACAAATGAAATCCTTCCCTCAAGGATAAGTGAAGCACATTCAACATGTGCTTCATTTCCTAAGGCATAGTGGAGAGTATGATTAAAGGAATAAATATGTGTTGTGGCCAGAAATGGTGCATAGATTTCATTCCAGCGCTCTGGAGTCAGGAGCAAACAAATCTATGAGAGTTTGAGGCCAGCCTGGTCTACAAAGTGGATTTCAGAGCATCCTTTGCTACATAGTAAGGGACTCTTACAGGACTGATTTAAAAAAAAAAACAACAACTCTTTTCTAATTTTATTTTTTGTTCTATCATTGTTAATCATAATTTTGGTTTTTGTTGTTGTTGTTGTTGTTCCTCTACTTCGTTTTCTTTTTTCTTCCTACTCCTTGCCCTTTAGTGTTTCTTATTTTGCCTTAATGTTTTGAATTTCAAAACTCACTCTACATTCTTTCAGACCATTTTATTTTATATGATTATTGGTAGTATACTACTTGGCTTTAATTAATATGTTTTATTTATTTATGTATGTATTTGTTTTATTATATTCCTGTATCTTATTTGGTTTGACTATGCTACTCATATGTCAGCTTGTTTCCTCCTCCCTAAGTGATGCTTAGGGTTCTAACAGTCAGCTTTAACTACCAACTTGGCCTAATCTATAATCACCTGGGAAATGTGTCTCAATGAACTTGCCTAGATTAGGTTGACTTATGAGCATGCCTAAGAAAAATTTTGTTTATTAGGTGGAGATAACCTACCCTGGTATGGCAGCAGCATTTCAAGGGCTGGACCATGGACTGAATGGAAAATGTGTGACTTGAGCCCTAAACTGGGGGCATTAATTCACTGTGCTCTACTCTTTTGTAAAGATGCATTTATTTTGTTTTATATTTTGCCTTCATGGCATATATGTGCACCATAAGTGCACCCGGTGCCCTCAGGGAGGAGAAGAGGGTGTGGGGTGCCCTGTAGAGAGGGTTACAGGTGGTTGGGAGCTGCCATGGGTACTGGGAGCAGAATCAAGGTTCAGCACAAGAGCAGTAAGCTCTCTTGACCATGGAGCCATGCACTCGCCCTTGCTGTCTATCCTGACTGTGCCTGTAATGTGCCTCTCTGCTTCAAGCTCCTGCCATGCTGACTTCACTGTGAGGACAGACTGTAACTGCTAACTGAGAGCCAAATAAGCACTTTCCCTTTAAAGATGCTTTTGTCAGGGGTATTTCTGTCACCTCAAGAAGAACAGAAATGAAAGCAGAGGTTTAAAGCAATTCCCTAAGTAGACTCTCAAATACAACCAAAAGACATATTCATCTCATTAGACACAGAATCACAACTCAAAAACACACCATGGTAAGACAAAGCAGCATGATACTTTTAAAAGATCACAACTCCTGAAAATACAAACTCCCAAAATAGTTAAAGGGCCAGACAAAGACATCAAAGACAAACATTTTAAAATGATCAGTAATCTGAAGGAGGATACAAATAAGCAAATGACTAAAACAAAGAAGTCAGTTCTGATGCTCAAAAAGAAAGAGAGGAGACCTGCTGGACTGGACCCCAGGATCATCTAGATTAGACAACCCCCAATCTGCTTTCTAGAGACCCATCTTGATACAGCCAGCAAAGGAGAGCTGCAGGCTATTTCCTGAGCTCTAGCCTTAGGCCAGTGGCTCTACCCACCTTCCAAGGAAGCCTACAGGGGTCTGTTCAACACAGGGCTCTACTGGCCTTCCGCAGGAGGGCTCCCTGGCCCCAGAATCATTCCGCCTCTGGCCCAGGTCTCTCCCTACCTTCCCAAGGAGTCTTGGGAGCACGAGAAATAGCCAGCCAACACCAGGGACAACCAGATGGCTAAAGATCAGCTTAAGAAGACAGTGAACATGCACCACAGCTCTATAGCACCTCCAGAACCCAGCTACACTGATATAACAAGCCCTGGACATTAAAGCTATTCTTATGAGGCCCTGAAAGAGGAAACAAATAAATCCCTTAAAGAAATATAGGAAAACACAATCAAACAGGTGAAGAAAATGAATAAGACAGTTCAGGACCTGCAAATGGAAATAGAAACAATAAAGAAAACACAAACTGAGAGAAACCTGGAGATGGAAAACCTAGGGAAGAGAACAGGGACTACAGACATAAGCATCACTAACAGAATACAAGAAATGGAGGAAAGAATCTTAGGTGCAGAAGATACAACTGAAGAAATGGATACATCAATAAAATAAAAGGTTAAACTAAAAAGCCCTGACACAAAACATCCAAGAAATCAGAAATGCTATGAAAATACCACAAAATAATAAGAAGAGAGAAAAGTGAAGATTCCCGGATCCATGGATGAGAAAATATTTTTAAAAAAATCATAGAAAAAAATTTTCCTAACCTAAGAAAGAGTTATGTTTATAGGAGTACAAGAAGCTTAGAAAACACCAAATAGATTAAACCAGAAAAGAAAATCCTCCAGTCACCTAATACTCAAAACACAGAACAAAGAATATTACAAGCTGCAAGGGGAAAAGACCAATTAATAGATAAAAGCAGACCTATCAGAATTATACCTGACTTCTCAACAGAGACTCTAAAAGCCAGATAGTCCTGGGCAGATATCTGGCAGACCCTAAGAGACCACAGATATCAGGCCAGTTTCCCATACCTAGGAAACTTTCAATCACCATAAATGGAGAAAAGATAGTCCACGAAAAAAATTACCTTTAAATAATATCTATGCACAAACCCAGGCCTACAAAAGAAAATAGAAGGAAAATCCAACCCAAGGAGATTAACTACATCCAAGAAAACACAGGAAATAAATAACTCCACTGAAGTAAAACCAAAAGAAAAGAAAACACACACAGAGACACATACACCCCATCACTACCACCACCATTAAAATAACAGAAACTAACGATCATTGGTCATTAATATCTGTCAACATCAAAGGAGCCAATTTTCCAATAAAAAGACACAAGTTAGAAGAATGGATATGAAAACAGGATCCATCATTCTGCTGTATATAGGAAACAAACCTCAGCAACAAAGATAAACATTTTCTCAGAGTAAATTATTGGACAAATTTTTTCCAAGCAAATGGACCCAAGAAACAAGCTGCTTTAGCCATTCAACCAAAGCTAATCAAAGAGATAAGGAAGGACATGTCATACTCATCACACAGAAAAAAATCCACCAAGAGTACATCTCAATTCTGAACATCTGTACCCCAAATGCAATGGAACCCACATTTGTAAAAGAAGCATTACTAAAACTTAAGTCACACACCGAATCCTACACGTTAATAGTAGAAGACTACAACACCTCACTCTTTACCAGTGGGCAGATTATCAAGACAGAAATTAAAAAGAGAAATAATGAGACCTTCTTCTCAGCAACTCACAGCACCTTCTCTAAAATTGACCACATAGTTGGTCACAAAGTAAGCCTCAACAGATCCAAGAAAATTGAAAGTAATCCCTGTATCTTATCAGATCACCATGGAATAGAGTTTGACTTCAAAAATAGAAACAACAGAAAGCCTACAACCTCATTGAAACAGAACAGTTATCTGCTAAGTGACAACAGGGTCAGCGAAGAAATAAAGAAGTAAATTAAAGACTTCCCAAAATTCAATGGAAATTAAGGCACAACATACCCAAACTTATCAGACACAAGAAAAGCAGTGCTAAGAGGAAACTTCATAGTACTAGGTCCCTTCTTAAAGAAATTGGAGAGTTCTTCTACCACCAAATTTTTATGTATTTACTTATTTATTACAATTTATTCACTTTGTATTCCTGCTGCACCTCCCTCCCTTGTCTCCTTCCAGTCCCACCCACCCTCCTACTTCTCCCCCTATGCCCTTTCTCTAGTCCCCTGATAGGGGAGGCTCCTCCCCTTCTATCTGACCCTAGCCTATTAGGTCTCTTCAGGGATGACTGCATCATCTTCCTCTGTGGGCTGGCAGGACTGCACCCCCCAGTGTGGAGGTGATCAAAGATCTGGCCACTGAGTTCCTGTCAGAGACAGTCCATGCACCCCTTATTAGTGAACCCACTTGGAAACTGAGCAGCCTATGGGCTTCCTCTGAGCAGGGGGTAAAGGTCCTCTTCAGGCATGGTCCTTGGTTGGAGTATTGGTTCTACAGGTCCCCCTAGGACCAGGTAATTTGGCTCTGTTGTTCTCCTTGTGGAGTTCCTGTTCACTCCAGGTCTTTCTGTCTCCCTCTTCTTCCATGAGGATTCCAGCACTCTGGCCAAAGTTTGGTTATGAGTCTCAGTATCTGCTTTGATACCCTGGTGGGTAGTCTTTCAGTCCTTGTGTTCTCCTACTTCTGATTGTCTATCCTGTTTTCCCTTCTGAGTGAGGATTAAGCATCTTCCCTAGGGTCTTCCCCATTGTTTAGCTTCTTAGGACCATAGATTTTAGTATGTTTGTCCTATATTACCTGGCTAATATCCACTTATAAGTGAGTATATATCATATGTGTCTTCCTGCTTCTGGATTACCTCACTCAGGATGATCTTTTCTAGTTCCCACCACTTGCCCACAAAGTTCATGATTTCCTTGCTTCTAATTGCTGAGTAGTATTCCATTGTGTAAATGTACCACACTTTCTGTATTCATTGAATGAACAATTCTTAATTTCATACGGAAAAACAAAAAACCCAGAATAGCTAAAACAATCCTGTTCAATAAAAGATCTTCTGGAGGTATCTCCATCCCAGATCTCAAGCTGTACTATAGAGCAACAGTAATAAAAACTGCATGGTCCTGGCATAGAAACAGAATGGTGGATCAATGGAGTTGAATAGAAGACCCAGAAATAAACCCACACACCTATAGAAACTTCATTTTTACAAAGAAGCCAAAACCATACAATGGAAAAAAGACATCATCTTCAACAAATGGTGCTGGCCTAAGTGGATGTCTACATGTAGAAAAATG